GCGACTGCGACAGTGGGGGCGGAGGCACCGGGGAAGGGGGACGCGGCAAGGACGGACCGGGGGTACCACCAGAGTCAGCAGACTCCTCAACGGGGACAACCGACGGGAGGGGAGTGACGTGGGAGACACCAGACGGGGCAGGACGAGGCGGGAGAGGGGCAGGGGCTACCGGGGGAGAGGGAGCAAGGAAAAGGGGGGGGGCAACTGGGAGACCTCGGTGAGGGAAGCGGCGGTAGAAGGAGACGGACTCATCAAAGGTGACGTCACGAGAGTGGAGGAAGCGGTGAGACGGCGGGTGGTAGAAAAGCCAGTCAGACGAGTCCAGGGGGAAACCGAGGAAGACACAGGGGACAGTGCGGGCAGTGAGCTTGTCCGTGCCAGAGGCACGAACGTGAGCAAGGCAGCCCCAGACGTGGAACGCAGACGCGTCACCGGGGGACCCGGTCCAAAGGAGGGTCGGCGAAACCTGCGGCCGCTGGGAGCGTGGCCACATGTTAAGCTGGTGAGCCGCGTAGCGAACAGCGAACAGCCACAGAAAATGGGGGGCATCGGCATGGATCATGGAGGTACGGGCGACCTCCATGACCAAGCCGATGCGGCGCTCAGCAACCCCATTCTGCTGTGGCGAGTCCGGCAACGTGTACGACTGGGTGATGCCCTCCGCACGACAGAACTGTCCAAGCCGACCAGAGGCGAACTCGCCGCCACGGTCGGAGTGGAGACACAACACGGGGAGACCGCGGTGGAGACGCGCAGCCACAACCCACGGGAGAAGAACGTCGGGCACGTCGGCCTTCCGCTCCAGGGGAAACACCGTGGTGTAGCGCGTGTAGTCGTCGACAAGCACAAGGAAGTAGCGCTCACCGCGCGGTCCAGGGACGGGGGCAGGGCCCCAAACGTCCAAGTGCAGGATCTGAAGGGGGGCAGTAGCAGGACGCAGCGAGGAGGAGTGAGGAGCACGGCGGAGCCGACCCTCGACGCAAGGCGTGCACGGTGGCGCAGTCGAGGGAGGAAGGGCAGGGAGCGACGCGGGGAGACCTAAGACAAGACCGTGCTGGGACATGTGACGCAGACGCGGGAGAGCAGGGTGACCTAAGCGGTGGTGCCAGAGAAGGGAGGGGTGAGTGAGGGACCGACACGAGCAAGCTGCAGCGACCTGGGAGGACGCACCAACCGGGGGGAAAGCGGTGTGTAGGGTAAACAGACCGGACACCGGGTCCCGGGGGAACGTCGCAAGGGGGGAACCTGAGACAGCCTCAGAACAGACAGCGAACCGCTCGTGCCCGGGGAACGTGGTGGTGACGCCGAGGTCCTGGAGACAGCCGACACCAACCAGGTTCCTGGAGAACGAGGGAACGTGGAGGCCAGTAAGGGAGCCCGAGGGAACTGCCGGACAGGGAAGGGACGTAGAACTGCGCGCGACGACCGGACCCGCAGAGGGGTCAGCGAGAGAGACAACAGCAGGTGCAGCAAGCGGCGTGAGCGTGGAACGGTCGCGGAAGAAGCAGGCAGAAGCACCAGAGTCGAGAGTGAAGGACAGCGACGCAGTGGCGGGGGCCGGGGACGGAGCCGGTGCAGCGACTAGACTAGGCAACCTAGGCAGTCCTACGCCTGTCGCAGCAGGGGAAGCTAAGCTACACAAGGGTGAAACACCTAAACTAGAGTACACAGGGTAGTAAGATCCATCAACACTAGAAGCGTCAGCATACAAAGCATGCAAAGCAGCACCTATCTGATCCATGTCTAACTCAAAGATCGGCACGCCCTGGCGGAGCAGGCTGTGCCAGTCAGGGAGGTCCGGGGCCGGGCCAAAGCGACGACGAAAAAGATCGTCGAGGCGGCGGAAACAGCGGGCGGTCGGGTGCGGGCGGCGGCACAGAGTGCCGCGGAGAGGCCCGGTCTGAAGCTGGTACTGGCAGGTCACAGCACTGGAGCCGATGGTAGACGCCAAGCTGCGCGGGCCGCCACCACGGCCACCGCCTCCGGAGGTGCCGGGCCAACCAGGCGGGAGACGAGCCCACGGCTGCGGCGGGTGCTGCTGGGACGGCGGCTGCGGCTGGGGCTGGTCCTGCTGCTGCTGGGACTGCTGCTCCTGCCCACCGGTGGTAGTCCCCTCAGGCGGACTACCGTCACCACCACCACGACCACTACCACCTGCGTCACCACCCCTACCTCCCTGGCGGCCACGGCCACCGCGACGCGAGCGCTGCTGCGGGTGGACAGCAGCAGCCGTCTCGGTAAGAGGGGTCGCCGTGGCGATCGCAGCCGAAACGTCAGTGAACGTGCACGGGGATGGGGCACAGCCGTGAAAGATAGAGACTGGCGGCGCACCGCTCGACTGAGCGATAGTGCGCTGGCGAGTCTCGATCTCAGTGAGGGTGTCGACAAAGGCGGTCAGTGTGAGGTCACCCGGGTGCTGGCTAAGAAAGTGGTCGCGAGCACTAGCGAGGCGGTCTGGCAGGCGCATAGCGATAAAATAGAGCGTCATGCAGAAAGGAGGGGGGAGCGCAGTGAGCTGGGCAGCAGTGCTGGCAGTGCGATAGCGAGTCTCTAGGGCACGCAAATGAGTGGCAAAATCTGCGACAGTAGGGAAGGCAGCCAGGTCTGGGAACAGCATCGGAAAGAGCAAGCGGCCAGCAGAAGCGGAGGCAGGGGTGGAATAGCGAGCAATAACGGCGTCTAAATAAGCTTTGGCCGTTTCAACAGTAGCAAAACGCGAGCGCTCAGATACAGGGAGGGCGTGACTAATAGCAACCTGAGCTACTGCATCGCGTGAGTCCCAGATCGCACAGGCCAGCGCAGCAGTAGAGAAAGCCTCACGGTCATCAGAGGAGGGGTCAGCAGGGAGGGGAGTAGGTGCAGGGGGACGGGGGAGCAAGCCATCAGCATGGACAACCAGAGAGTGGCCATCCCGGCGCTGACCTGTAAGCTGGCGGCGAAGATCGGAGAGCCAGGCGGCGAAGTCAACCGCGTGGCCCTCAGCGTCCAGGCGGAGCACAAAGTCAGCCATCGTGCAGGGTCAGCGGCACAGCTCCTCAGCGACACAGCGGCACAGCAGCACAGCTCCTCAGCGGCACAGGAGCACAGCGGCGCGGGGACACGGCGGCAGCACTCTCCAGTAGGGCAGCAGCTAGGCGTCCCAGCGCAGGCAAGCAGAAGACACAGGGCCCGAGAGGACACGGCAGGCCGAGCAGGGGAGGCGGGCAGGTGCTCTGGGGCCGGGCTGGTGCTGGGAGGGGCCAGGCTGGTGCTGCTGGGGCCGGTCGGGCACGAGGAGGGGCCGGGCAGCGCTGAGGAGAGGCCGGGCGGCGCTAGGAAGGGGCCGGGCGGCACTAGGAGGAGGCCGGGCGGCACTAGGAGGAGGCCGAGCGGCACTAGGAGGAGGCCAGGCGGGCGAGCGCTAACAGCAGGCGCGACAGGGGCCAGCGGGCGCGACGGGGCCTAAGGGGCGCGACGGGGCCCAGCGGGCACGACGGGGCCCAGGGGGGGCGCGACGGGGCCGAGGAGGCGCGACGGGGACCAGCGGGCACGACGGGGCCCAGGGGGGCCGCGACGGGGCCTAACGGGCGCGACGGGGCCCAGGGGGGGCGCGACGGGGCCTAGCAGGCGCGACGGGGCCTAGGAAGCGCGAAGGGGCCCAGCGGGCGCGACGGGGCCTAGAGGGGCGCGACGGGGCCGAACGGGCGCGACGGGGCCCAGAGGGGGGGGACGCGACGGGGCTTAGGAGGCGCGACGATGCCTAGGAGGCACGACGGGGCTCAGCGGGCTCGACGGGGCCCATGGGGGGCGCGACGGGGCCTAGGAGGCGCAACGGGGCCCAGCGGGGGCGCGTTAGGGCCTAGGGGTCGCGACGGGACCCAGCGGGCGCGACGGGGCCTAGGGGGAGCGCGACGGGGCCTAGGAGGCGCGACGGGGCCCAGCGGGCACGACGGGGCCCAGGGGGGGCGCGACGGGGCCTAACGAGCGCGACGGGGCCCAGGGGGGGCGCGACGGGGCCTAGGGGGCGCGACGGGGCCTAGGAGGCGCGACGGGCGGAAGCGGTAGGCGGGGGGATCCTAACCTAAGCGTGATACCATGTTAACGTAGAAACGAATGATTACTAGTGGTGGAAACCTAGAACAAATACTAGTTGGTTGTACTCACTAGAAGCATACCTCAGTCTAGCCTATAACTTCTACATAGATAATATGTATAAGTTGACACCATCTGCTACGACTACTCACTCACCGTTTTTCCTCAACTACGGGATGGATCCGACCGTCCCAACGACTACCAACATCGATAACCCCGTGCCACGTTCCCAGCAGTTCGTGACCAGCTTGCAAGCTGCCCGGGATAAAGCGATCGACTTCATTCGCAAGTCCAACAACACTGCTCGACGCTATACAGACCTTCATCGCCGCGATATTACGATGACCGCTGGGCAACTAGTCCTCCTCGACACGAAAAACCTTCGATTGCCCCTGCCGTCAAAACTCCACCCGCGATTCTGTGGCCCTTTTCGTATTGTCAAGATGGTGACACTTGTCACAGCGAAGCTATTACTCCCGGACGAGTGGCGCATTCACGACGCCTTCCATATCAGCCTGCTTCGTCCCTACGTCGCCAGCACGTCTGCAGTCGCACGACCAGCGGCCGCCCCAAGTGTTCGCCCACTGGCTGAACCAATGCTGGAGCCTTTCCGGCTTTTGAGTCGTCGCGTTCGCCTCGACTGGACAAGACGACACGTGGATTTTCTTGTCCGCTGGGTCGACCGTACAAGCGAAGACGACACCTGGGTCACTTCCGACTCGATTCAGGAACACGCGGTGCTCAAATCTTATTTGACCCGAAAAGGCGTTCCCGATATTGATCACCTCCGTTGGATGTCGGCTTGGATCTTAAAAACGCTGATTCTTTTTAAGATCCAAGCCGACATCCAACGGAGCACAACGAGAAATATCCCTCCATTATTCTTTCTATTCCCCCCGCCATAAAAGGTTGGTCGGTGTACACGTAAGGCCAATTAAGATGCTTAATTTCCAGATTGAAGAATGTACAGCCTAGCTTTTGATGACATGCAGTATAATGACAAACGAGACAGCAATTGCTCCAATTAGGGCTGCTTGTACAGATGACTGGGGCAATTCGTCCCTGCGTGAAGGTCCCCTTCGCCGTCAGTAGTAGTAAGGGTCAGAACTAAGTGAACCAAGAGTCACCTTGCCCCTATGTATGTACCCATGTGAGGCAAGTGAGCTAGCACACAGTCTGCATCAGCAGCACGTGCCGAATGGCCTCGCTCAGCTGCTCATCTATCTCCGTGCGCCCACCCACTCCCCCCTCCGTCCCCCCCACCAATTCCACCAGCACCGCCGCCATCTGCTGCACCTGCGCCGCCATGTCGGCATCCGTTCCCGCCGCGTCCGCTTGTAGCAGCGACAACGCCAACTCTCGAATCCCGTCGCTGCTAACTGAATCTGCCGCGCTCGTCGCGGGAAGAAGGTTCGTAGCGCAGCAGGAGCTCGCGGGTTTCAAGTGCGTCGGCGGGAAGCTGAAGTCGGCAGAGGCAGACGGCGCGTGTGTGCGCGGCAGAGCGACGTCGCACGAGCGGCTGCGCGAATGAATCGACGCGTGGCTCGCGGAAGCGGCTTCGGCATCCCAGGGTACCTGACCAAACGCGAGCGGCGCCTCCAGCAGCGAGTCGAGGTCGTCGGGGTCGCAGCAGCTGCCCGTGCTGCTCCGCGGCGACATCGCCTCGTCCGCCGCCTCGCGCCATTCCCCTTCCCACGCGCAGCTGCGCCCCTCCTCCGCCTCGTCCGCCTCGTCCAGCTGCATGATCGCCGCCTCCACGTCTAACGCGCGCGAGAACACGGGGGCGTGGCAGTGCGGCGGCGACACGCGGAACGAAGGGGTCGGGGAGAATCGGAGGGATTGAGCTTGCAGCGACAGCAGCTCCGTGCCCAGAGACTCGAGCGCGGGCAGCGACGCACATACGGCGCCATCAAGCGGCGCAAGGCGAGGCCAGATTTTCGGGCTGCTGCCACTTGGGAAAGAACTGACGAGCTCGTCTAACAAGGCTGGGCCGTCGAGCTGCTGCTGCTGCTGCTGCTGCTGCTGCTGCTGCTGCTGCTGCAGGTGCTCCTTCCACGCGTCGGGCAGTGTGCGAATGGTGGCCGCTTGGCGAAGCGAGTCCTGCCAGTTCCAAGTCGTCATGGTGTCGATCGACAACTCTGAATTCCGGTCGTGATGAAAGCCGGATGAAGCAGCGCACTGGAAGCTCCTGGACCTAGGACTTTAATCGATTTCTTCTGTGTGAGGAGTGCCTTGGGCTTGAACCAGTTCAGTCCTCGAACAAGAGAAATGCGTGTTGCGCTGCGGTTGCTCCCACCAAGTCCAAGGGCCTTGGCAATAACCAGGGGGAAGGCAGATGGTGAGGAGGATGGGTGGAGGAGGAGCACAACGCAAGTGACAGATCATCCTGCGCCGCGCCTGCCCCCATGCGCGTGTTTCTGTTGAAAATTGTTTGTCCCTTTCCCCGCTCAGCTGTTCAACATCTTCTCGCAGGTTGGGCAGGTCGGTCTACCAACAAAGAAACCTGAGCTCAAGGTAGAATTTATATGATCCAAATCCATGAGAAATAATTAGAAATAACATGTGTATCCAACAACTACCCAACCGAGAATATTGCGTAAGTTTCCATTCATTAGCTGCTGGAGACCGAATCGCAGGATCAGCAGGATTTGGGCGGCGATTCGTGCCTGAAATGAGCCCTGATCGTGGTCCCTGGTGCGGGTAACCCATTTCCCAGGCAGGCGGTGCTCACTGTGCAGTGGGGGCGGAGGGAACCTGACCTGACCTGACCAGACCGAACTCGAACATGTCCTCCGCCGCACGCGCGAAAACATGGCGGCAGGAATGCAGCGAATCAAAATTCCTCAGTTGCGTCATGTGACCAAGCGTTAGTCAATGGCAACAGAGCAAAGCAAAGCCAACAGCAGGGCCCACCCAATTTACTGGCAGGATGCAAAGCCCAGGTGCTGACGCCTTTTGTCCGCCAGGCACCGTTTCTCTGGCAGAGAATGGGATGAGGCTAGAATGGCAGTACATGCACGGTGCAACACCACCTGACCTGTTGTGGACCGTGGGGCTCCTGCTGGGTGTCATGGAATAATGGTTTGTAAGGGGGTGTCATAAGCATTCAGGTTAGAGAGATTAAGATTGTTATTAATTAATCAGATTAATAACATGTAGTGTAATAAAGGAGTCGTGATTCAAGAGTCTCGATACAAATGAGGGCCTAGGCATTTATAGGCACGAACAGAGCTAGCCGAGAACCACGCGAACAGGTTGGGGCAGCACGGTTGGCGAAAGCCACCGAAGCGCCGAGTCTCTAGGTTTGGGTTCACGAAATGGTTCGGGACCGAAGAAGTTGGCCGAGCCTAGAATTCCGAGAGTCGAGGGCGTACGCGCTGTAATTGAACCCAGTAAGGAAAAGGGAATTTCCTTACACCACCCCCCTTTCCGAGATGAGGCTACCCACATCCGGAACGCGTCGTCGGCGTAAATAGTCTCGGACGACTTTGTGTTCGCCAAGCATAGCTGCGGGGACCCAAAGTTCGTCGTCAGTCATACGATCGACCCATCGTACAAGGAAATCAACGGCTGCCATATCTCGATGTCCTCGTACGCGATGAGCGAGAATCTTGGACGGCTCGATCGTAGGCTCGGATACTGGGTTTACCGTATAATTGGTGTGTTGACGGTCAATATTAGTCGTACTCCAGATAAACGGTCGCAGGAGATTGGCGTGGAATGAATCATGAATTCGCCAGTCGACCGGCAGTTACAACTGGGCTGTGACTGGTGTCACCATGCGGATGATGCGGAATGGGCCGCACAATCTTGGTCGTAATTTATTTGGGAGGGGAATTCCCAAATTTCTCGTATCGAGCATGACCTATTGCCAAGGGACGAGCGTTAAGTGTCGGCGTCGTCGGTCAGCTTGCTGCTTAGCCCTCTGGTTGGCTTCGAGGATGGCATCGGTGACTTTTTGCTGAGACTGTCAGAGGTTTTCGACGAACTGCTGAGATCTTGGTGCCGAGTTCTCTATCGGGGGCGATAGAGGGGTTGTTGGATCTATCCCGTGATTAAGGAAGAACGGAGACTGAGTAGTCGTGACCGATAGAGCGTTCTTGTACGCAAACTCGATCAAGGAAAGAGCGTCTTCCCATTGGGTCGGGTCTGTGCACGTCGTATGAATCAGCTGCTCTTTTGTCTGATTGGTGCGCTCAGTTTGGCCGACCGATTGCGGGTGGTGCCGCGTGGACAGATGCAGGCGTGTGCCGTATTGTTGCCAGGTTTTTGTCCAGAAGTTGGACGTGAACCGTGGGTCACGATCGCTAATGATTGCCGAGGGAATGCCGTGTAGCCGCACGATGTTCGTGAGGAACAGTTTCGCTGTCTGCTCGGCAGTAATTGTCGTCTTGCAGGCGGCGAAGTGGGCCATCTTGGTCAATCGGTCAACGACGACGAGAATCGCGTCGTTACCGCTTGGACCAGCTGGCAGGCCAGTGACGAAATCCATCGTCACTTGTTGCCAGAGTTGCCTGGGTGGCTCGAGTGGCTGCAGCAATCCAGCAGGTCGAAGCTGGGAAGACTTCATGCGTTGACGCGTGGCGAAGGAGGTAACATACACTACACGTCTGTCGGCAAATCGGGCTAGTAATAAGTACGGCTCAACACTTTGGCGATTTTGTCGACGCCGTAGTGACACGAGAAATTCAAGTCATGTGCCTCCTGGATCAGTAATTCTCATAGGGTATGGTAGGCGGAAACCCAAATCGGATTGGTACCATATTTTAAGTAATAGACCCCTTGCTTGTCCATCAGTTGGGGATGACTGTTAGTGGTGAAGAATGGGTCCGTGCTGTGTCCGTGAGTGAATAGGCCAGTTAGCGGAGGGTTAGCTTGGGTAATTAGGACGGCAACGGTGTGGATTGAAGGGCGGGTCAGTGCGCCGGCGATGTTGCTAATCCCCGTTTGTAGGTGACTCTGTAGTGGAAGTTGGATTCGAGGTAATCAAGCCAGCGAATCTGTCGGGGATTCAGTGTCGGTTGGGCAGAGATGTACTGTAGCAGCTTGTGGTCTGTTCGGACTGTCACGTTAGCGCCCGTTAGGTAGCAGCGCCAGACTTTGAAAGCGTGAACGATGACGAATAACTCCTTGTCGTGGACGTAATAATTTCGTTCGGCCGGGTTCAGCTTTCGTGACTCGTGGTTGGAATCCTTCGCCGAAGTCTTGTAACAGTACTGCGCCAACAGCCAGATCGCTAGCGTCAGTGATAAGCTCGAACGGATGGTGAGGATATGCAATCCGAAGAACCGGAAGTGTAGTCAGGAAAATTTTGAACTGTTCGAACGCAGCCTGCTGCTCTCCCCCCCACTCATAAAACGTGCCCTTCTTCAGGAGATCCGTGAGAGGGGAAGTTACCCCCGCCATGTTTAGAATGAGACGGCGGACGTAGTTGACAAAGCCCAGAAAACTCTGAAGTTCGCGGAGATTAGTCGGCGGCTTCAAGTCTTGGATTGTCGCGATTTTCTTGGGGTCGATTTTAACACCGTCGATGGAAATGACGTGGCCCAAAAACTCAGTTCGTGTTTTAGAAACTCACATTTAGAACCCTTGGTGATGAGTCGGTGCTGCTGCAAGAGAATGAAAACTGTAGTCAAATCCTTCAAATGCTGCTAGCGGATAGTGCTGTAGACCAGTACGTCGTCGAGGTACACGATGGCGCATTTATCCAGCACCGGCTGAAAAACCTCGTTCATGGTTAACTGGAACGTCGAAGGCGCGTTTTGTTAAGCCAAAAGGCATAACTGTGTACTCGTAACTCCCGTACCGGGTCCGAAACGTCGTCTTATAGCAGTCAGCTTCGTTCACGCGGATTTGGTGGTAACTGCCTTGTAGGTCAATTTTCGAGAATAATTTGGCTCCGCGAAGTTGGTCGATGAGTTCGTTGGCACGCGGGATAGGATAGCGAGACTTGATTGTAACCCGGTTCAAAGCGCGATAGTCAATACACATTCGTAGACGACCATCTTTCTTCGGGGTGAACAGTATTGGAGTTGCAAACGGTGATGTGCTGGGGCGAACAAAACCTTTCTCGAGCAGGTAGTCCAGCTGGCTTCGAAGTTCATCCAGCTTGGGCTGAGTTCGAACAGTAGGCTGCGCGCTGGGCTCTAATTCGATTTTGTGGTCATGTTCTCGCTCATGTGGCAAACCCGTCGGTAGGTCGTCTGGAAAAATGTCAGCGTGTTTCCGAATCATTATCGCCAAGTCATCCGTGACAGCTGCTCAGAGTTTGTGGATGTCGGTCAGCGTGTCGACAGCCGTTGATGCGATCCATCGGACGGCATATAGTTGCGCCCCTCGAATCATGGCTCGCTTAATCGCCACTGCGCTGACCGTCGATGTGATCGAGTCTTGACAGCTCCACTTGGGTAGTCGTCGCCACTCGTCACTCCATTTGATGCGACAATTGCCAGTCCGCTAGTCGATGCTCGGGTTGTATTCGCGCAACTAATTGCATCCCAGGAGCATGTCGCACCCATCCAAGGTTGTTGCCAGCATCTTCGTCGTGAAAATGAAATTTTCGCCGCATGTTACTCGCACGTGAGGTACCCGCTCCCGAATTGCAAGTGGTGTGCCGTCAACCAATCGCGCGTCGATTTCACGCATGCTGCGCTCCAACTGCAATCGCTATTTTTTCGCCTTCGTCACGTCCATCAAACTGTTGCTCGCCCCACCATCAATGAATATTTTGATGCGGGTGTCGCCAACTCTTCCTTCAACCAGCACAGAGCGGTCAACCAGTTCACCCCCCTTATTCAACCAGTAATGGTCGATAGCCCAAATCGGCACTATAGCCTGGTGGGGGTGGTGGCGTTTGGGTGGCGCAGTCAAGTCAGTATGTGGCCCATTTGCTACTCACGATCTCCATTTCCCGATTGCTTCTTGTCGTTTATCTAAGTTCTTCTTCAGCTGCGAGCAGTCCCTCACAATGTGACCTGGCTGGCTGGAGTGGAAGCAGGTTCCCAAAAATACTCGGGCTGCAAACACGTCCACGCCGTTGATTGATGTGTGTTGGGGCTGGCCTCGAAAGCGATTTTCCTCTCGGAAACCCGCTCTCGCGAGTCCACGTCGTGCGTCCAGCACATTTGCTATGCGAACTATTTTGTTGAATGCCGCCAGGGCTCGCAGGACGATCTCTTGCTGAAACTCCGGTTTGACACCACCCACCTAGCGATCGATGCGCTCGTCTTCGCTAAGCCTTCCGATTTGGTCGCCGATTGCCAGAAACGACGCCGTGTATTCTTGGACAGAGCCCAACTGTCTCCACATCCAAAGCTTTGTGCAAGCATTTTCGCGCATGGATATGTGCTCGAATCTGCCCTTCAACGCTTCGCCCCACGCTTTCCACGTGCTGATTGTGGCCGACCCAAAGATCGGTTCTGCCTTCGCCGTTGATGAACTGTGCTCCCCAACAACCGCCCGTTGATTTCCTGCCGGGGCTCCTCCTTCGTCTAGATGCATACGCCACCAGTCAAGTGTCGGTCCCCTCAGCAACGACACAACCAAGTTGACACGTGACGTGTTGTCATTAATACTTGCTGCTGTGAAGAAGATTTCCATGGCGGACAACCAACCGCTCACTGTAGTTGTTCTGTCGGTCGGGTTGAACGGCGGCGGCATCAGAGGTTTGATCTTATTGGCCGCCCGCGGCTCACAGTGGACTTCTTCAACTGCTTCGGGTGTCGCCGACGCCCTCGCTTTGCTCGCAGCATCTTCGTCTCGGGTAACAGGCCGCCCCTGACGCGCTTCACCCCGCGTTTGGCGAAGCGACGAGTTTTCGTTGCGCAGCGTCAGCGTCTGCACTTTGCTTCCGAGCGATTCAAACTTATCCGCGAGTTGTTGAAGCTGGTCCTGCAGTGTCGACACAGTAGCCTGGCTTGCAACTCGTCAAACTCTTCATGGGTCACGTTCCCAACACTACGACGGGCAGAGGTTTCCGGCGAGATAGACATGCTGGAAATTTTACCCGACTTATCTTAGGGTGCACACGCTTCTAGTTGGAGGAGCTCTAACGAGCTCACCTACCAACCGCAGGCCAACCCCCTATTCTGTCGGATCCTCTCCCGATATAAACGGACTACTCTACTGAAGACTAAGTGGGCAGGAACGGAGCTCTGATACCAACTGTTATGAATTAATCAGAGTAATAACAGGTAGTGTAATAAAGGAGTCGTGATTCAAGAGAGTCGATACAAATGAGGGCCTAGGCATTTATAGGCACGAACAGAGCTAGCCTTGAACCACACGAACAGGTTGGGGCGGCCCGGTTGGCGAAAGCCACGGAAGCGCCGCGCGTCTAGGTTTGGGTTCATGAAATGGTTGGGGGCCGAAGAAGGTGGCCGAGCCTGGACTTCCGAGAGTCGAGGGCGTACGTGTTAAGGACGCTAGGAAGCCATGGAATGGCACGAGGGTTTAGCTAGGAGAAAGTTACGAGAGAAAAGAGGGGAAGATTAGAAGAGAGAGGGATACAAGGAAGGGGTTGTACCCTCTACAGTAGGTTTTAGTAAGACCTACCAAGCTTACAATTATATAACATACATACAATTTAACACACCCCCTAGGCTTGGTAGTAGAAGAACCCACACACACCCACACCCCCTAACCTAGCACCCCCAATTTCCAGCAGCAGTCACGATTACTCCAGCATGGCTAACCCTACGGCTCGGGAGATGGCGACGGCGGCAGCGGCGGCAGTGACGACAGCGGCGGCGGCGGCAGCGGCGTGCAGCGGCAACAGGCCAGCGGCGATAGCGGTGGCGGCGACGGCTTCGACGACAGCGGCGACGGCAGCTGCGCCCGCCCTCTCGGCGGCGTGGCCAAGCTCCGCGACGATGGGGAAGACCCTCACGAATCAGGCGTCAGCTGTGGCGAGAAGGAGGGGATGCAGGGGAAAAGAGGGGGGGGGGGGGGGGGGGGGGGGGGAGGGGGGAGGGACGGGGCGTGGTCCAGCATCACGCCCGTGGCTGGCGTGCGGGCGTCAGGACCGGCGGCGCCTAAAAGGGGGCGCTGGCCGCTGCCGACCGTGCCGTATGCGCGCTGGCAGCATGTCGCCACGGCAGCACGACGGCGCCGTCACGCCGCCACGGCAGCGCGACGCCATGACAGCGCGACGCCACGACAGCGCGTCGAAACGGCCGCGGCAACACGACGCGGCAGGTGGCACGACGACGCCGCCACAGCAGCACGACACGGCCGCCATGGCAGCGCGAGAGGGAGAGGAGTGCGCGGCGGAAGCGTGGGGAGCAGGCCTGGGAGGGCCGACATGCTCTGATACCATGTTAAGAGTCTAGGACGCTAGGAAGCAGGGCCTCAGATTGCAGGCTTTTTACCCTGATTCAGGGTAAAATCAGGGCTTTTTGGGGGGATGTGTTAAAGTAGCACTAGGCTAGGAGGAAGGGAAAGAAGGCAGCCATGGTTGTGGCGGTGGGGTTTAGCTAGGAGAGTAGGAAAATGTCGAGAGGAAAGAGAGTTGGATTAGGAAGAGAGAGGAGTACAAGGAGGGGTTTGTACCCTCTACAGAAAAGGTTCAGTAACAATCTACCAAGCCTATATAAATTATAACTTATATAATTTTAACACACCCCCTAGGCTTGGTAGTCACACACCCACCCAACACACCACACACCCCCTTACCTAGCACCCCCATTCCAGCCACAGGGACAGCGACACTAGGTCGGTCGACCCCACGGTGCGTGAGGCGGCGACGTAGACCGCAGGGGCTGCGGCGGCGACGGCGGCAGCGGCGGCAGTATCGACAGCGGCGGCGGCGGCGGCGTGCGGCTGCGTGGCCCCGACGCAAGCGGCGACAGCGGCGGCGGCGGCGGCTTCGACAACAGCGGCGGCGGCGGCGGCACCCGCACCTCTCGGTGACGTGGCCAGGCCCCGCGACGGTGGGACGGCCGGCGGGAGTCAGCCGTCGGCTGCGGCAAGATATAGGACACAGGGGAAGGGGGGTGGGGCGTGGTCCAGCCTCACGCTTGAGGCTGGCGTGCGGGCAGCAGGTGTGGCGGCGCCATGAACGTCGCGCGGCAAGCTGCCGTCCGACGACGCTGCCACGGCACCGTTACGACGCCGACACATCGCGGCGTCGATGCAGCGGTGGGACGTCGCCGCTGCGACGGTAAGCACGGCGCCGTCACAGCAGTGTGGCGTCGACGCCACGCGTCACGACGCGACGGCACGGCAGGAACGGGCATGGCCGCCACGGCGGCACGGCAGGAAGGCAGTGAACGAGAACGCAGCGGAAGCACGGAGGGGAGCAGGCCCAGGCAGAACGTCCTGCTCTCGATACCATATCAGAATAATTGAATAATCGTAAAGTGAGAGTACACACAAATATATCTAAGTTTTGTATCCTCTAAGAGGTGACTCTATACAGTCTATACAAACATGACAAATACACATGTTTGACACACCCCCTAGACTGCATAGGGGAATACCCTAAACAAGCAGCTCAGGGCGGCACTACTAGTCCAACCTCTGAGGCAAGGGTCTGAGCGACCGGTCAGAAGGAGTACAGACAAGGCAAGCACAAGAGCAGGGCGGCACTACTAGTCCAGCCACTGGGAGAGGACACAAGTCCAGTCTGAGTATACATATAAAGGACAATACAAAGTCAAGGTCCTAGCAAGTGAGAGGCTACAGGAACTAGACCAAGCTGTACACAGTGCCGCTGATGATCTTTAGGCGCAAGCGCCTTCGTAAAGATATCAGCTGTGTTGGCACCTGAGGCCAAGTGTACTACGCGAGCCTGACGTCGCTGCTGTAGCTCACGCAGGAGGAAGTACCGCAGCTGAATGTGCTTCGCTCTGCCCTCGAGTCGAGGCTCCTGACACAGGAGGATCATGGCCCTGTTGTTAGCGAACAGGACCGGGGCAGAGCTAGGCCGCTCACCTAAGTCAGTGAGCAAGAAGGTCAGCCAGCGGAGCTCCTGTGCCGCCATGGCACCGGCGTAGATCTCAGCCTCACAGCTGGACTGTGCAACAGACGAGGAGCGAGTAGCTCTCCACGAGACGGCACCTGAGCCAAGGCTGAAGCAGTAGCCCTGGGTAGACCGGAGTGTCTCAGCGTCGTCTGCCCACGAAGCGTCTGTGTGCCCAGTAAGGACCGCTGGCCTGCGTCCTCCTAGCACTAACCCCATGCCCGATGTACTAGCAAGATAACGCAGAACCCTCTTAGCGGCAGACCAGTGCTGCGGTCGGTGTCTGCCTGTGGCCACAAAGCGAGCCAGGATGCTGAGAGGGTATGCGAGATCTGGGCGAGTGCAAGTCATCAGGTACATGAGGCAACCCACCAGCTCTGCGTAGGGGCCGCTGGGCTCTACCAACTCCTCAGGCACTGGAGCGGAGAGCCTGTGGTCTACGGGCAGAGGGGTGGGCTGTGCAGAGGAGAACTGAAGGCTGAACCTCTGAAGGACCTGGCGCACCAAGTGTGACTGAGTCAGGGTGACGGTGCGCGCAGCTCTGTCCCTGGAGATCTGCAAGCCAAGGTAACGGCGCAGTTCTCCAAGGTCAGTGCAGGTGTGTCTCTTCAGCAGCTCTGCCTTCACGGAGGCCATCGCGTCCCTGTCTGCTGTGGCAAAGACCAGGTCGTCGACGTAAACGAGGATGTAGAACGGAGTCTGGCCAGCACGAACGAAGAGTGAAGGGTCTGCAGAAGACGGAAAGAACTGCAGGTCAGCAAGCGTAGCACGCAGAGTGTCGTGCCACTCACGGGGAGCCTGTCGCAGGCCGTAGACGGGGCGCCGCAGGAGCCACTGGGTCCCAGGAGGGAAGGTGCCAGTAAAGCCCGGAGGGCGGCGCAGGTAGACCTGCTCGTGTAGGCTGCCCTGAAGGAAGGCAGTGGAGAAGTCGAGGGAGTGAAGCTCGTAGTCACGCTGAGCAGCTAGGTGTAACAGAACCCGAAGAGTAGTCATCTTCGGGGTCGGAGCGAAAGTCTGGAAGAAGTCCACCCCCTCGCGCTGACTGAAGCCTCTAGCCACATAGCGCGCCTTGAAGACAGGCGGCTCTCCAGGAGGGCGCTTCACCTTGAAGAGCCAGCGGCCATCGACGACGTTCACCCCAGGTGGGGGAACTGCGTCGACGAAGGTGCCGGTGGATCTCCAAGATGCCATCTCCTGCTCCATGGCAGCTATCCACTGCGAGGCCCAGGGTCCCGAAGTCGCCTCAGCGTAAGTGCGAGGGGTCGGGATGTCGAAAGCGTCTGGGTCACCCTCAGGGACTAGCAGCATGGAACAGAGATGGGGAGCAGCCTCGGAGAGGAAAGCAAGCTCGAACTGGCGGTCCTCCAGGACGTCACTGCCAAGGGCAGGAGCACCCCCGACAGACGGAGGACAGGCAGGGTCAGAGACCAGAGCGGTGGCGTAGTCAAGGCGGCGGGTAGAGGCGAAGTCAGCGACAGCAGCGACAAGGGCGTCAAGGCACGAGACTGGAACAGACGGGTCGGTAACGAGAGAGGCAAGGACCCGAGGAACGAGAGGACGAGCGGCACGAAGGTAGTCGGACAGCGGGGGGGGCGCAACAACAAGGGAGGACGGAGGAGGCGACGACAGAAGGGGAGGACGAGACGCGTGTGAACGAAGCAACATAGGGTGGGAGCGCAGGACAGGCGAGGCAGGACGAGCACGGGACGGACGGTGAGACCAGACGTGCGATGGAGGAGTCGGGTCAGGAGACAGGGGAGGGGACACAGGAGGGGAACGAGGGGGGAGACGGGCCGGGGACGAGTCCGGCGGAGGGAAAACAGGGCCGTAGACAGGAAGAGGAGGAGACGGTCGGGGAGGAACCGACGCAGGGTCGGGGGACGGAAGGCCGAGCAGGCGAAGGGCGGACACCGGCGGGGACTGCTGCTGCGGCGGCACAACGGCGACACCTGGACCGCAAGCTGCTCCTCGGCTACCACCGGCACTCTCCACACCAGCACCCCCAGAGGGACCACCCCCAGGGCGACCGGGACGAGCACCCCCAGAGTCAGCGAACGGGGGCGGCGACTGCGACGGCGGCGGCGGCGTCGGGGGCGACGGCTGCAGTGGCGGCAGGGACGGCGGAGGAAGAGGAGGAGGGGCAGGGACTACCGGGGAAGGGGTGACCAGGAACAGGGGGGGGGTAACCGGGGGACCACGGTGGGGGAAGCGGCGGTAGTAGGAGACGGACTCGTCAAAGGTGACGTCACGAGAGTGAAAGAAGCGGTGAGACGGCGGGTGGTAAAAGTGCCAGTCGGACGCGTCAAGGGGAAAACCAAGGAAGACGCAGGGAAGGGTGCGGGCAGTGAGCTTGTCCGTGCCGGAGGCACGGACGTGAGCAAGGCAGCCCCAGACGTGGAACGCAGACGCGTCACCAGGAGACCCAGTCCACAGACGGGTCGGCGAAACCTGCGGCTGCTGAGGGTGCGGCCACAGGTTAAGCTGGTGGGAAGCGTAGCGCACAGCGAACGGCCACAGAAAATGGGGTGCACCGGCATGGACCATGGAGGAGCGAGCGACCTCCATGACCAAGCCGATGCGTCGCTCAGCGACCCCATTCTGCTGTGGGGAGTCCGGTAGGGTGAACGTCTGGGTGATGCCCTCCGCACGACAAAAGCGACCAAGGACACCTGAGGCAAACTCGCCACCACGGTCTGAGTGAAGACGCAAGACAGGGAGACCGCGGTGGACACGCGCAGAGACAAGCCAGGGGATGAGGGCGCCAGGCACGTCGGCCTTGCGCTCCAGGGGAAAGACTGTGGTGTAACGAGTGAAGTCGTCGACAAGCACAAGGAAGTAGCGCTCGCGACGCGGCCCAGGGACGGGGGCGGGGCCCCAGACGTCCAGGTGCAGGGTCTGCAGCGGCACGGCGGTAGGGGGGAACGAGGAGGAGTGAGGGGCACGGCGAAGCCGACCCTCGACACAAGGCGTGCCAGGTGGAGCTGGGGAGGAGGGAAACGCGGGGAGTGAACCTGGGAGACCAAGGACAAGACCGTGCTGGGACATGTGACGCAGACGCGGGAGCGCAGGGTGACCTAGGCGGTGGTGCCACAGGAGGGTCGGGTGAGTGAGGGAGCGACAGGAGCAGGCAGCAGCAACCTGGGTAGACACAGCCACCGGAGAGGGCGCTCCAGCCGGGGGGGGCACGGTGTCCAGAGTGAACAGGCCGGACACCGGGTCCCGGGGGAACGTGGACAGGGGGGCACTAGTGGCGGCCTCGGTACAGACAGCATACCGCTCGTGACCAGGGAACGTAGTGGTGACGCCAAGGTCCTGGAGGCAGCCGACACCAACTAGGTTCCTGGAGACCGAGGGGATATGCAGACCTGTAAGAGAGCCCGAAGGAACCGCCGGACAGGGAAGGGTGGTGGAACTGCGGGCGACTACCGGACCGCCGGAGGGGTCAGCAAGAGAAACGGCAGCAGGAACAGGAAGCGGCGTCAGGGTGGTGGAGTCGCGGAAGAAACACCGAGAGGCGCCAGAGTCCAAGGTGAAGGAAAGCGAAGCCGAGGGGTCTGGCGACGAAACGACGGCAGAAGCACCAAGACTACACAAAGCAGGGGATCCTACGCCTGACGCAGCAGGGGAGGCTAAGCTAGGCACACCTACACTAGGCAACAGTGAGTAATAAGTCGGAAGCACACTAGAGTCATCAGCATACATCACATGCAGAGCAGAAACAATGGCATCCATGTCCATATCAAAGATCTGAATCTGACGACTAAGCAAACTGTGCCAGTCCGGGAGGTCTGGCGACGGGCCGAAACGCTGACGAAAGAGGTCGTCCAGGCGACGAAAGCAGCGGGGAGTGGAGTGACCGATCTTACCGCAAACGAAGCCGCGGCGAGGACCGGTCTAGATCTGGTACTGACAACGCCCGCCGGCAGAGCCACCACGCGGCACACCACCACGCGCCCGTCCACCGCCAGCGCCGGGCCACCCTGGCGAGAGAACACTCGTCTGCCGCGTCTGCGACAGCTGCTGCGGCTGCTGCGAAGGCTGCGACTGCGGCGGCTGCTGCGGCTGCTGCAACTGCAGGGGCGGCGACTCAGCTGGACTGGGCAGGGTCCCCTCGTCCGCTCCAGCACCAGGCGACCCGACCCCACCACTACCCCCGCCCGCACCCCCGCCGCCCCCTCCGCCGCGCCCAGCCTTGGTGCGGCGGCCCTTCCCAGAACGGGCCTGCGCCGCAGCAGCAGTCTCAGCCACTGCGGCAGAGCCGTCGGAGAAGGTACACTGAGCGGGGGCACAACCCTGAAAGATAGGGACCGGCACGACACCGCTCGCCTGGGCGATGGAGCGGTGACGGGTCTCTATCACAGTCAGGGTGTCGACAAAGTCAGTGAGGGTGAGGTCTGCGGGGTGAACACTAAGGAAGCGGTCGCGGGCGACAGCAAGGCGGTCAGGGAGGCGGGTGGC